GCACCAGTGACCCACCCGACCCTGAAAGGAATAAGCGTGTACAGAAAATGGATGGATGGATGATTTTGTTAACAGATACACAAACACAGTTATCATTGCTCGCCTTCACCTGTGGACGATAAAAATGTTTAAAAAAAACAATGAACCCCACCAGCATATTTCATGACAGCTGAACAACAGCTGGAAGAGGAAAGTAAAAAAGCAACGAGAGTCGTGTTTACCTGTGATGAAGAGAGAAGGTGGGAAAAGCTGAGGAAGGGWAGGAGAGATAGAGATCGACATGTTAGAGGTAGATAACGAGAGGGAGGTGAAGTTCAGGAGGTGTAGAGTGTCACCTGAGGGATCAGGAGATAGCTGGAGAGGGCAGAGGTGCAGGAACTCAATCCCAGCGCCAAGACGACTGCATGATAATAAAAACCTCCTCACCTGAGCACACCTAGAGACAGAAATGATCAGAAGCTCCAGGAAACRCTCAGCAACACAACCCGCTGWGGGGGAAAAAAGAGACGGGAAGAARCATCTCATTCCTTCATCCTCCCCTTCTTTTTGTTGTCTGGTCTGAAAGAAGGCTGACCTTTGACCTTTTCAGCACAGTTTAGGAGGATTTTTTTATTAATTTGTTTGTGCTTTTTTACCACATTAAAACAAAACATCGAAGCAGAGCTGCTGCAGAGGAGAAAGGTGAGGCAGAGAGAGGGGGACGGCGAGGGAGGGGGAGGAAGAGAGAGCGTGTGCTTGTGAGGCTGAGCCTGTCACAGCGACATGTTCATGCTCATTCGAGAGCCGTCCGCCGCAGGAGGCGGTGCCGGAGCCATGAGCGYGCCGCCGGAGAGGACCCCGAAACAGGTGTGTGTGGTGGGGAGTAAGAAGATTTAGACCCGTTAGGTTCAATGGAAGTGTGTTAGTGTCTTTGTAGCTCTCACATCATCTTTATCTGCTCATATTTAGGGCTTTTTGTGCACTTTTTTTATTCGAATTTACTGTATTGTTAGTAGATTTGAATYGTTTTTAAAAGGGTGTAAGCTCATCTCCAAATTAAAATGACCTTAAATCATCTGCGACGTAAACGTGAACACTTCTTTTGATAAATTTCTCCAGTTTATATGATAATAACAGCTTTTTGTTATATATTGTTTGTAAAACCCTAAATGTATGGGAAGATCTGCCTGCTGTATTTTTAATTGTTTCATTGTGAAATTTCACAATCCTGAAGTAAAGTATATAAACAGCTAAGCACCCACCATTTTTCCAGTTATTTCAGTGCAAACACTAAACCAAGGTGTGTGTGTGTATTTCAACAGGTTCAGGCTGCCATCAAGAAGAAGATGAAGAAGAAGAAAAGCATCGACCAGGGCGACGGGCAAAGCGCAGCTCTTCTGCCTCAGAAATCCCGGCCGCCGGCGCTCCGAGCCGTGACGCCGGCGGCGGAGGAGGACAGCGAGGCCCTGGAGGAGAAGTTGGAGGAGATGATGGAGGGACGGCAGAGGAGAAACGCTGAGGCAGAGCTGGAGGAAGAGCCAGAGGATCTGCTGCCCATCGTCCACTCCGTGTTTGGACAGGTAGGGTTTGGATCATCGGAGCGTACGTGTCACGTACACGTGTCTCAGTTGCATGAGTTGTGTTTCATTGGGTCGAATTCTCCGGCTGATTGAATGTCTCGCGGAGAACTCGATGGAAATCCTGCACCTCCAGTTTGAATTTAAAACCCAACTCTTTGTAGCCTCTGAGATCCCAGAGCAGACCCTAAATCCATACTTGCCTCACTTTGACACCCATTCCACCAAACCCTTGTTGAACATCTGGTGTCTTCAGAAGACAAAAACCGAACCTGGTGATGTGTGTGCTTAAGAAGGTTTAAGCTCCTATACTTTGAGAAAACATTACCAATGTGTAATCCGTAACAGATACGACTACAGCGTGCTGGAGATCCAGTGAGCTCCCCGTCTCTGATGTCACCCTATAAGCTCAGTATCACATCACATTCCATCACTCAGGCGGGYAGAACCGAAACACGACACGTTGACATACGGCGGGCCTTTGTCACTAAAGTTCGGATCGCCATGCTGTGAGAAAGTGTCCAGTTTGGACGTTAAAATCTAAACCACAGGAGATCAAACTCAAGTTAAAGCCATCGCTCGTTTCCTCCTGACCTGGAGCTCAGGGAGGTTTAGAGAGAGAGAGAGTCACATCCACCTGATCACGTCAGGAAGCTCTGAAGATAGAGATGATGAGCAAGGCTGAGGCTGGCAACAGGAAATGGATGTAAAAATAAAGTAAAATGTGATGTCAGTGGTGACGTAAGTGGTCCAAAATAAGAAAAAAAAACTGTAGAGTGAGTGGGAGAGATAAGTCAGGAAAGTCTGGAGAGAAAAGAGGAGAACAGAAGATCAGATCCGAATGACACTCAGTGAATTATTGCATAAAGCTTAAGTTGCACAGACAAGTCAGGCACAGTGAGTCCTCTCAAAGAGCGCTCACATAATGAAATAAAGGAAAACAGATGGCCAGCACAAACTCATCAGCTCCTTAAAGTTGTGCATTACAGAACAACCTCACATGACAGCAGGACTGAGCTACAAGAACACTTCAGAGGGCTGAAAGACTGCTAAAAATATAGTATCTGCATCAAGCTGCTGTATTTGTGGGTATTTGAGAAATAAGACCTGCGGACTGCAGCTTTGTTACTTTGACAACACTTACAACAGGGCTATTCAACTAAATTAAAAGCACAAGAAGAAGAAGTATTATTTCTTTTACTTCTTAAATTTGCTCATTGTGTTGCCTTGAACCCAAAATTTTAAATTCACAATTTAATTTTAATCTGCTTTATAATAAATTATGTAATTATTTATATAGTTTTATTTTTGGCTCTCATGGGCGTCCCAAACAGAAGTTACCTGCAGGCCAGATGTGGCCGCAGGTAACTAGTTGAAATATTCCTGCCATACAACACAACACAGTCAATATAATTTCATAAAAAATAAGATTTAACAAAATGCAAAACCATGCAGACACAATATAACTTAATACAACAAAAAAAAAAGAAATACAGTACACTATGATACAATACAACACAGTCTTATATTTTTCTATGTGATACAATTTCACAAAATACAATATAATACAAAAAAACTAGTGTGAGGTTTTGTGTTTTTATGTGTTTCCTGCTCCTCTGTGCTCCTCCCACACTTCTTGTCTCCCTCTCAGGTGTTTGTCATTTCAACACAGTAGTGTCTCTATATACAGCGTCTTCACATTTGTTCATCAGTTCTGTGTTGTGTTGGCACCATGTCCTAGTACCTTGTGTTTTTGCTCCATGAGATTGCCGCTACCTTGGTCTTTTCCTTTGTTAAACAAATCAGCTTTGCTTTTTGATCTCCTTGTGCCTGACCACTTCCTGGGTTCAGATGCAATGACGTACAAGGAATGGAATATCATTAAATASAAATAATAATAATACAAAACAATAAAATAATGTTTAATGTGGCAAAATACAACTCAAGAAAATACTTTATGATACTATGTTAAAGCATGCATCGTAAATCACAAATACAAGTAAATATACTTCAAAACAGAGTAATAATGTATGATACTATAYAATTTGCTACAATATTTCAAAATACAATATAATACAAAAAACACACAGCACCATGCATTACAATACAATATGATGCAATTCAGTAAAGTATTGTACAACACAGTATAATCCAGCACTGTGGGGTAAATACATATTTCAGCTCAGATGAATCAGTTTCAAAACACAAAGCTGGTGTACCCCAGGGATGAGTCCTCAGCTCTCCATTTTTTATATTTCTTCTTGGTCAACATTTAAACCAGCTGATGTGTGACACCAGATCAGCACAAGATATTTTCATCAATAAAATATAATGTTTCTCTCTCTCTCTCTCTCTCTCTCTCTCTCTCTCTCTCTCTCTCTCTCTCTCTCTCTCACACACACTCTCTCTCTCTCTCTCTCTCTCTCTCATACGGACACACACATAATGTCTTAATCTCTCCACAGGAACTTTCATTGACTTCCAGTCATTTTTAAGTCATTAACTCTTATTCACACACACACACACACACACACACACACACACACACAGACCCCCACCAGGAGGCTTCAATTTAATCCAAACCTTTAATTAGATAGAATGAGGTTGGTAATTAATCTGAGTAGGTCTGCTGGCACCAACAACCCTCTCTGTGCTTCTTTAGTCTCCGTTTCATCAGAAAATAATGAAACTTTAAAACAGAAACGCTGCTCAGAGTGATTCCTTCCACATGTTCTGTGATGGAGGTGTTTAAAAATGTCTTGTTTTCTTAGTGGTGGTTTTTACGACAAAAAAAGTAATAAATTTATTTGTTTATTCATTTATTTTTGTCATTGACCTCTGTTTCATGACCTACATTGCTACAACAAAAAAGACAATGAATAAAAGTCCAAAATTTCCATTATGATGGGTGAAATCAGTCTGAGTCAGTTTTACATTGTGTCTCAGCTTCATTTAAGGTAAAAAAAAAAAAAGATTTTGTTGGCCAACAAATTAAAAGCTTTTCTGTCTGTAAATCAATGTGGAAGCTAATGAGAACTAAATCCTTTACAGAAAGTTTAGGTCCTCATGAAAATCCCACAATCTTTTTAGTTCCAGCATCGACACTCCATCCAAAACTGATGATTTAAAGGATTTGCCTCCAACATCCATTAAAACAGCTGCCAAATGAAGTCATTACTGTCCCACACTAACGTCTTCTCCTGACTTCAGCAGAWATTTCATGTAAATTATCCAAATTTATGTATAATTATACTTTTATTTTCATTTTAAAACAGTTCTTCATATCAGTAAATGGTTCGGAAATGCTCCCAATTATTTTAGGCAAATATAAAAAAATAAATTATTATTAGCAGCTGGAGGAATAAACAAAACAAACAATATATCCAGTATTATACGCAAACATTTTACTTAAACTGAATCTTTCCAGCCAATCCAGTWTTTCCTCTTCTTCATGTCGTCATCACTCTCTCCTCTTTAATCTAAACATTGCAGATTAAACCTTCTGTGTTWATTTCCTCTTAATTCTCCCTCTTGAACTCTTCTCACTGGAGTCGTTTGRACGCGTGTGAGCGACAGAGAAGCAAACACTGCAGGAGGGGGGATTTATGTTGGGGAGGGGGGATTAAAAGCCCTGCAGGAGGAGAAAAGAGCCTGCTGCTTCTGCAAAGAGACACAAGTGCTGTGAGGGGAAACCACATTAAACAGGTCGATTTGGRCTGTTTGTTAGTTTAATCAGAGCGTAGAAACAAAAGAGAAGAAGGGAAAACAGCTGGTTGTTGATCTGAGGTGGGGTTAGTGATGGGAAACTGCACCAAATCATCCATGAAGGACAACATGAGGAAGGTAGGGGACACTGGTCTTGTTTTTTTTTTCCAACCTTTTCAAACTTATTTTACTAAAAGAGTGAAAACCCCCAAAAGGCAAATCAGTCATAAAGTTGCTTTATTGAACTGTTTATTATTCAGTTTGAATCCTTAAAGAATATAAATTGTTGTTTATTGTGGGGTATTGATTTTAAATNGTTTATTATTCAGTTTGAATCCTTAAAGAATATAAATTGTTGTTTATTGTGGGGTATTGATTTTAAATCATGTAAAACATGTTTATGTGATTTTGAAAATTTGAATTCAGATAATTTTGCAACTTTTCTGAACATCAATTCTGTGGTGACGTATAAAATTATCAACCTGATTTATAAGAGAAATTTTTTTGTTTATGTAATTTGACTTGTATTTCTAACATTTCCAAATGTTATAAACAGACAGAAGAACACACTTCAGAGTCACAGCTTGTTGAGTTTTTAAAGCACCTGCCTGCTTTTATTTTGAAAGGCTTTCCCRTTGTTTAGTTTCTGAAAGCTTTTTTGAGACAATCGATCTGTTTTGGAATAACTGTGTTTGTTCATAATGTCTAACTGATTTCTGGTTAAAACATTTAGCTTGTGCATCTTCAGATTGGTATTTTTCGAGTTAGAAATATGTTTTAAGTAATTATTTGTTTTTAAATCTTAAAACTGCCAACATCTATTATTAACTGGCACCACAAATATTCTCTGTGTGAAAATAAAAGCACAYACTGAAGCTCCACCGCTCAATAATATGAAATATAAATGTGTTAATTTAGATTAATAAAAAATTAAGATGATTATACAGAATTGAGATTATCAAGTGATGTTTTAACAGCCTGGTCTGCCTCTGAGGAGGGACTCTCTGGACCCTCTTTGATGAAGGGTCTCCAGCTGGAGGAGGAGGAGGGTCAGGGTTCATTCAGGGGTTCTGGTGAAGAACTGTAGGTCCGGATCTTAGTCCAGGTTGTGTTCAGACTGTAACACACTTTTCCACTCGCATCCGTTTGTTTTTATATCCTGACTCTTCATCACACCAGCTGAATCCTCCTGTCATCAGTGGACTACGTCACAATGTTGCCCCCACCACAGTGAGGGATTGATCACTGACTTTAATGGAAACTCATTGACTGGTTTTGTGGAGCTTCTTTTATAACGAGTGCTGCAGGATCTGGCTCTGATTTGTCTGGGCCAGAATTAAGAGAAAAGTCAAATTAATGTTAGGGGAAATTATTTAAACTGAAATATACATTGAAATATAAAAAAGACCATGTTGATGTTTCATAAAATGTAAGACATCTTTATTTCTTTCCACTTTTTTTTTCATGAAGGAGATGAGCTGTTAACATCTTTATTGTGTCTTTTTTTAACAGAACAGAGAGCTGAGACCAGAGGAGCTTGAAGGTGAGACAGCAGAAATCTCAACATGTTGCACCTTAAGCAAACATTATATAATCCGACTAATGTGTCKCTGCTTTGAATCAGAGCTACGGGAGGCCTTCGTAGAGTTCGATAAGAAGAAGAAGGGCTGCATCAGTCACAGAGACCTGGGGGAGTGCATGAGGACCATGGGATACATGCCCACAGAGATGGAGCTGATCGAGCTGAGTCAGCAGATCTGTGAGTGGAGAGACGCCCAGATAACAAACAAAAAAGCAAAAGAAGCTGAATCAAACAAGAGGAAAATCCTCCAGTCTGTTGCTTTATTTTGAACCTGACTGTATGTGTGTTTCAGGCGGTGGTAAAATAGACTTTGAGGACTTTGTGGAGCTGATGGGGCCAAAGTTGCTGGCCGAGACAGCAGACATGATCGGAGTAAAAGAACTACGAGATGCATTCAAAGAGGTCAGGATCCTTCAACCTGCTGTCTGAGGCCTGTAGAGTTTGAAGTGGAGCTTTCATTCCTTTTTTTTCTCAGTTGCTCTACAGAACATTTGCTTCTAAAACAATAAACAYTGATGTTGACACAGCTATAAAAATCAACCTGGTCAGAATTCTTGTTTTGCTAAATAAAAAGCACAATTATATAAAAATTTTAATAAATAACTAAAAATAAAATTTGAAAAACCGTGACTGAAATGTGAGCTTTACTGCCAACTAGTGGTGAGATTAAGTATTACAGCAAAGTTAGCATTTTTGCTATGCAAACTGGTGAATTTTCTACATTTTTTCCCTGCACATTTCCTTTAATATAATGTTGTACTTCTACCTCTTTATCTGGTCTTCAGTTTGATTCTAATGGGGACGGTCAGATCAGTTTGACAGAGCTGCGGGAGGCCATGAAGAAGCTGATGGGAGAGCAAGTGACCAACAGAGAGATTAATGAGATCCTCAAAGACGTTGACCTCAACGGAGACGGCCAGGTGGACTTTGAGGGTAAAAGAGAAGTTTGAAAAAAGTGTATCTTTTATTATTCATGTTCTTTTTCTTTACATATTTGTTTTGCCTTTGCAGAGTTTGTGCGAATGATGTCTCGGTGATGTGACGTCAGGTGGACGGGCCTTTGGACAATGAAAACAAAACAACAACAACAACAAAAAAGAAAAACACTATACTGCAGTGAATTTTATTTTAATCTATTGAAATAATATTTTTTATATTAATCTTCAATAACAATATTTACAAAGTGGAATAGTTCCTACATATGATCAGCTGAAAAAACATATCAGCAGCTTTACGAATCTGATTTTCAGTTTTTTTAATGTATTTTATGTATTTTTACGTTTGTTTTTAGAATGTAAAACCATATGTGTAAAAACTTTTTTAAATAAAACAAGATACTCAAAAGCTGTGTATGATTTATGTTGTGATGCATCAGAGAATAACAACCTGAGTAGATTCTTCAGCACAAACAAACAACAAACAAAAACTGAACAAATACAAAAAGAGCTGAGGCGAACCTAAAAGAACAAGAGCTGAAATAAGCTAAATAGGCTATTAGCTAAAAATAACAGAATCCTAGCGAAAAACAAAAGTAGAACAATGCTGGTTTCTGAAAGCTAAAGTAGGCCTACCAAATAACAAAAGATAGCTACAAATATGTGTAGTAAAGTTATCTTGACACTAAAAGTATCAAGTAAACAGTGGCAAATGTTAGAAAAAGATTTAAAAACTTGCAAAGAGCTAAAAGTAGCAGAATGTCCAATATCTAAAAGTAAAAGTGCCAAAATGTTAACTAATTAGAAAAAGTCTGGCAAAAATATCAGAAAGCTAACTGAAAAAAAT